GTAGCCGCGGCAATTACTTATGGCTTTTGAATATTAAATGAATCGCACTAAACTAGTATAAAGTATAAAGTAATAAATCATTAACGCTGCTTAGTGGATAACATAAATAAGTGTAAATAAATCACTAAATCAATATGAAAGCAGGTAATTACCAAAATAATTGCCATCCAAAATCAACATTCAACATCGACTTCAACGCATTAATCGAACAGCAATCAACCGGTGAGGTCAGGTCGTCGAACAATCTCCACTCTCACTCTCAGCCCGCACAAACTACATACTAGATAGATGAAAGGAGGCATTGTTTGGGGATTTTACACGTCGATGGAGTGCACATTATAGACTATAGTCTTGAATATATGTGTCAATATGGTGAAGAACAAGACGAAGCCATAGACCAGTAAACACTTTATTGCCTCAAGGAAAACCTTCATTTTTATGCTGTGCGACTTTCACTTTCACTTTTCAATTTTCAATTTCACAAAAACAACAAAAACAATGTTTCAACAAATTTTTTTTTTTTTGTTTTTGGCTAAAATTCTTAACGTTTTTTTTTTGTTTTTTTTTTCTCGATAAAAACTTAAGCAAATGAAGTCATCAAACGTCGTGTATCGTGACACTTGCCGCGGTTAAAGTGAACTGAGTGAGAATATTTTTAAAATTACTACAAACTGTAAATGCACAAATACACAACTTTAGTTAGCGGCACTGGCGATGATTTTTTGCCAAAACAAGAACGAAATATGCTTATAAAAATCAAAACAAAACAAAACAAAACAAAGCAAAACCAACCAAAGAAAACAACAAATACAATAACAACAATAACAACAATAAAAACAATAAAAACAATCTAAGGAATCAACGGAAACAGCCCTGAACTCTTTCACGTTATAACGCGTACTACTAATTGCATGAGGCGACATGAGACAACAGGCCCAAATGTGCGGCAAAGAAAGTACGAAAATATATACTATATATGTATATATATCTAGAAAAAAAAAATAAAAAAAATAAAATAAAAGTATGTCTGTATGTACATATAAAAAATAATTAAGCCTTTATGACTTTAACTATATAAACAACGAACTGATGCAAGCACTACAGTTGGAGAGAACACGACCCGAACAACCGATGTTGTCATTTCTTGACTCACAAATTTATGGCGAAATTTCACCATTGCCTTTTTAAGCAATTATAATAAAAATATGATTAAATATTTAAATTAGTTATTTGCTATAAGTTGGAGTTATAAGTGATAATATATGTAGATATAAATATGCATTAAACGAGTTAAGTATGTATATTGAATGAGTCGAATCATATTAGATAAAACTAAAAATAAAAATTATATTTAAATATAAGAACTAAAATGATTTTTTAAAAAATTTGAACAAATATTTTTTGAAACTATATATGTTTGTTTTTTTTATTTAATATTATTATTAATAAATAAAAATTATTTTTGAATAATTTTATTCTATATACATAATTTACTTTTATCGAGTTTTAGTACGTTTATATAACTTATGAAAATTAAATCGAATTAATATATTATAGTCTAAATATATTGTTATGTTAGGTTAAGTTATACCTGCAATATCAACGGATCCACTTAGGCATATAGTTCCCTTGTTTTACGCTATTAAATATATTGTTGAGTTAGGTTAGGTTCTACCGGCAAACCCAAAGGATAAGATTAGGCCTATAGTCTCATTATGCTACCATATTAAATATATTGTTAAGTTAGATTAGGTTACACCGGCGATCGTAAGGAATCCACTTAGGCCTATAGTCCCATACCGTATTAAATATATGGTTAGATTAGTTAAGAAAAAAATTTTCAATCCATCTACAGTGTGTATATATGCTAATTAAATTAATTACGAAGTATTATGTTAAATTCCTTTATATTTAAACAAATTTTTCATAAATATTTCGATATATCTCATCATCTAAGTGCGTGTATTTAAAAAAAATATAATTATGCTATTCTTTTTTTTTTATTAAAATAAAACTAATAATATACGCTGTAGATGACTAGATGACTATTATACTCGCAATTTTTAAAAATAATTTAAAAAATTATGAATTATTTGAACAATAGTCCAATTAGCCCATTTCAATATTAAAAACAATAAATCAATTTATTTAATAAAATATATTGTTAAACATCTTTTTATGTAAACAAATTTTTCACAAATATTTCGTTTTATCTATCTCATCATCTTTAGTGTGTATATTAAAACAGAATATAATTATTTTTTTTTTAATTGCATAAATTTTGTATTCTATAGATGATTATAGACTATAGTCTTACATTAGTGGAAAACAAAAAAAATTTATAATTTTTAAAAATAATATACAAGATTTGGTATTATTTGAACTTTAGACTAATTAGCCCGCTTTAAAACTAAAAATAATAAATCAGCTATTCTTTTTTTTATTTAAATAAATTCTTCAAAATATTTCGATCTAATTCGTAGATCATTTTCAGAATATATTTTTTTTTCTTAAGTTAAATTTAATTTATGAAACATATTTTCAAGTTTGTTTTAATTTAAACAGATTTATAATAAAAATTTTAATCTACATCATTATCTGTGTGTATATAACAAAAAATATCATTTATGTATATAAAAGATTATCACACTAAAGATGATCTACAAACTAGATCCGAAATATTTGTAAAAAATTTATTAAAATAAAACTTTAACAATATATTTTATAAAATTAATTTAATTGAGTATTCAGCTAATTAAATAAATGACCTAAGTCCGGTAAATGTTCATTATATTAATATTGTTATTTTTTTTATATTAATATTGATATTAGTTTTTATATTTATAATGATAGTAATTTTTATATTTATATTGATATTAATTTTTATATTTATATTGATATTAATTGTTATAATTTAATAACATCTATAAATAATTTATTCATCTATTCATTCTATACATCTATAAATATAATATTAATTGTGATTAATTTATAAATATTCTATTCATCTGTTCATTCTATACATCTATAAATATAATATTAATTGTGATTAATTTATTTTTTATATTGATATTAATAAATACGAAACATCTTTAAATTAATTTTAACTAATATTTTAATTATGTTTTAAGATATTTATATAAAAATAATTAATAATAAATAAAAACCACGATTCAAATTTCCCAGACGATAGATTCGATAACGAATTTTGATTAATTTCAGTAGTTATCAAATTGTTGTGGTCCCAAGAACGATCGGGTCTACGTGCGGAAGCCACTCGGTCAATTTTGACGACCAAATGCCATTCATTACCCCCCAAAGAGACTACAATCCTTTCAGGCTACAACAACGATAATAGTCATATCGTTATACTTAACAAATTACAATTGTGCCAAATATTTATATTAAAATACAAATAAATAAAATTAAATAGAAACAGTAATAAAA